GTCTTGGACTCGTACCTGCGGGTCGCTTGTGTGCAGCAGGTAAAGGAGTTTGCGCCTCGCCCGCTTCCCCTTCTGTTTGGTGATGGATGTTGTCCTGTCAGTGTTACTACCTAGGGCCGTGGGTCGCGTCGGAGGTTTGGCTGGATAAACCTCGGGCTGGGGTTTGAAGATGGAAGCATCGTCAGATCGTTCTCTAAAGTTAGCGGGGCTCCCGAACTGTGCTCCCTAAAATTGTCTTTTAAGAAGTAACTTTATAGGATTGATTGACTGACAACGTGGATAGTGGCGGGAGGTGAAGAATCATGGGTTGGGGCTCAGTTCTGTTACTGGCCATGCGAGTTCATCAGGATTTCAATAAAATCCTTCGGGACATTGACACAGCATGCCCTAGAGATGACATCATCGCGAATAGTTTGCGGAAGGGGAATAATTAACAGCAATAAAATAACACTTAAATTAATAAAACGAGGTAACTCGCAAACTTTCCTAGCGTAAAGGGTTGGTTTGTTTTTAAGTTTGTTTTTAAACTTCTGTCGTTGTAGGATTCAGCTGTTTTCGTATCGAAATGAATGAAGCGTGAAACTTACAATTTGCGCCATAGGAAGACCAGAAATTTGCTAAATGCGTTAGATATATTTAGAAAAAGAGCCCTAAGGTTATAATTAAGGATGGTAAACAGTCAAAACAAAATTGCTGCCTGGCGTGTTAACTTCCTTTGTAGGCTTTGATATTTAGAGAACTGAAATCAGCGTCCTCATTTGCATGTAAGGTCCTGAAGGGAAAGAGAATTGAACTTTGACCTTTCCTGAGGTGCAGTCATAATACCTACTTGCGAGGCTAGAGAGATGTAAGAGTTACCCGGACCTGTAGGTCTGCACCTTCTGCCTCTATCTTCATGCTTATGTCTGTAACCAGCTAGTCTGGTCTGGGTGAACCCTATACCTAGCTGCTTTTCTATAGGGACATTTATATCTGGGGTAAATGGTTTACTTTTATTTTCTTCAACTGAAATATTTACCCTCTGACTATTGATTTTCAGGCTGTTAGCAAACAAAACTATGAAAAGATGGAGGCAATGACAAAAGCACTATTCTTTTTAGCAGACAGTGTCTGAATTTCGTCCATGAAACACGGGTGACGTTTTAGCGCGGGCCCGTAGTGCTTGCCACCCACATGATCCCCTCTTACTTGCCTCTGCTTTGGTGTCCAGAAGGCCTCGTCTGGCACCTTCCATTCCTTGGATTCCGTGCTTGGTGCAGTCACCCCTGCGGGGTGCCACTCAGAACAGCTGGACCCTGCGTGGGCTTCGGATGCAGGGTCCGGAAGAGGCAGTGCTAGATCTGAGAACCAAGGGGAGCCTGGAGCTTGCCCACCACCTAACTCTTCATTGTAGGAACTGCCTGTGCCTGGGCATGTTATGAATATCGCTGTCCTTGCCCAGTGGGTACCAGAGACAAGTGTCCAGGAAAATAAGCAATTATCTTCTTACTTGGTAATTTAATAGAATAGAATGATTAGTTTTGGTGTATTAGTCTGCAAAGGGTGTTATATATACGTTACATCGTTTGCTTTTCACTGGCATCTCACTGCCCTCTTTGGAAGCTCACGGGCTAGTTTTTCCTCAGAGTAAGCAGCTCATTTAGGATCACAGGACTAGTGACACAGCCAGGACTCAAGTCTCACACACGTAAGAGTCTCTTTCCGTCGTACAGTCCACTCGATGTCTGAATTCATAAGATTTTTGTGCCAGTAAAAAGCACAACAGTTTTGTTCAGATATTATGGCCTTGCTGGGCACAGTGACATCATCAATTTTAGTTATCATTAGTCTTATCAAAGGGCTGTAGAAAGGGGTCTCTCACTGATATTTTAATACTCCACTTTAATATTTTAAAAGTATTTTAATACTTTAAAAGAAAGTGGTTCCCCCCCCCCCC